TATATATATATATATATATAGTTATTCATGAAATTCTACGATTTCCATTCAAAAAACGAAGAAGGAAATAAACTTACGCAACGTACAACAGAGTACAGATAGCTCAGCTGCATGAATGAAAGTATTAGGAAACCTAGTTCATTCAATCACGCTATCGCAACCATACTCACGTTCATCTTGCGCTTGCATCGACTGAGGTTGAGCAAGAAATTCAGCCGGAGTTGCGCAAACGTTTGCAGTTGCAGCATCATGTGACCCTGCTCCTGCCCCTGGCAGTCTTCTTCCGGTGACGCTGGGAACTTTCGAAGAGCGTACGCGTATCTGTGCGACGCCTCTTTCAGCCTGTTCTTCCGATAGAGCACGTTCCCATCCTCGAGTAGTTTGTTCAACAAAATCAGCAGAACGTCAGGCTTTCCAGCCGCCATTGCCCAAGTGGCAGGGCCCAATTTTGCACCGCGGCGCAGGAAACACTGCACCACCGGTATGTTTCGACACCCGATCGCTCGGTCCAAAGGTCGCATTCCGTGGAGATCGACGTGCTCCACCGCTGCTCCTTTCTCGAGCAACAATTGCACCAGCTTCGGATTACCCTGGGAAGATATTGACCGCAACGTTACGGTATTGTGAGCCTCTAAATAATTACCATTTCTACGTGGTAATGGTGGATTTTTATGCAAATTTATATTTTTCACACTATAATTTAAAGAAAGAAGAAGAATAGAATCTCGTTAGATAGTTGTTTTATATATATATATATATATCAGATATTACAAAAAGATAAATTATACTTCAGATATTTTATGCATTCTTTTTTCTTTTCATATCATGTACTTACGTTCTGTGCAATCTCGCACTTTAAAATTTTCTACAAATGCATAAAAAATAAAGCAGTCTAATAAATTTTATTTGTCTGTAGATGGATTTTTTTTTTCAACAACAAATGCGACGAAAGGCTACAATGTGAAAAGACATAAATTGATACCCGACAACGGCATCAACCAGAAACCTAATATTTAATTTTATAACTCTTCCAAATTTTTTTTTGTACGACAAATGCAAAAGAAAATACAATAGTAAAAGAGTACATAGATCAAAAATAGAATATGCATATCTTACCTGAAAAGCAGCCAAATCCAAAGGAGTTCTTCCGGTGTTATCATTTGTATTAACATCAGCGCCACGATCGATGAGATTTTGTACAGCAACTAATCTTCCCCTTACGCAGGCCCAGCAGAGAGCAGTTAGGCCTTCTTTGTCTCTATTTTCTAACACGGATCCCTTGTCCAAGAATAGTTCGATTAAATTTGTGTGGCCTTCCGAGGCAGCCAGCATTAACGCGGTGCGACCAACTGGATCACGTTGATCCAGGAGAGATGCTGCGTCGTCCAGAATGGTATCCGTGCTGCTCGATAGCGTTCCTGCAATCATTTCGTATATCCATAATCATTCTTTTAATTCTCGTATCCAAGTAAAACGATCCTTAACGTCTTAAGAAAATGTTCAACATAATTTTTTCCATATTGCAAGCTCAAGATGAAACATCTGAAATATATCTGTAAATTTTAAACAATATTTAAAATTCTTTAAAACAGCTTGTTTTGGTGACATTTTACTGACTAGAAACTTCCAATATATTCTTTAATGTTATAAAAATATAATTTACTATACAGACTCATTATAAATGATTTTTATTATATATAAACTATACATGGAACATGAACACTTCCACATTATAAAACTTACACAGAAGAGTGAAATATCTTTTCTACTGATATAAAAATAAGAATAATTTTCAACACACACCCTGCAGGAGTCTTTCAGCTGTACCCCAGTGCCCTTCTCTAGCAGCCAACATTAAAGGAGACAATCCTTTCGCATTCACAGCGGTTGGACTCGCACCTCGAGCCAACAACGCCGAAACAGTGGCGGTAGAACCGTTCGCAGCGGCAATAGTTAAAGCAGTCTCGCCTATCAATGTGTCAGGACGATCGACGATCACTTCGGCCATGTCTAACAGATATTCGACGATGCTCTCGTGGCCTTGAGCCGCTGCGGCAACTACAGCTTGCTGAGCAGCTTCCTCTCTGCCTATTTCTTGAGATCCTTCCGTTTCGCTCACGTTGGTTGGAACTAGCCAGTCGCAAGCTAAGAGATAACCGACTACCGATAATCTTCCATATCTCGCCGCGTGAACTAAAGGACACTGTCCAGCCATGTCCGTGTGGCCCAGCGAAGCTCCGGCAGCCGCTAACCTGAAGTGGAATTTTCATTTTCTTTTTTTTTTTTTTTTTGTTTATTTTGCATTGAATGAAACTTAAGGTAATGAAAATGTCCGTCAAACATATTGACATGAAATCGTCCAAATTTTCATTCTCTTGAATCGAAGAGTATATTGAATTGCCTTCTTTTTTTCCAGTCCTGACGTTGTTATTAAAATAACAAGTGTACATAATATTAGTATATACGGTGAAAAACACAATTGTACCAATGAGTCGTGTTACAACTTTGTAAAGAAAGATCATGTAACGATCTGTTTGGCCTTTAAAGCGTCCTATTTTGATAATCATGAGTTTATTCTTTTTTTGAGGAAGATCTTATATCATGCAACGGATGAAGAAGTGACGATACCTTCGTCTCAAAAATTGTAGAAATTCAAACGTACGTAGACACATTGAAAAAATTTGTTTCGTCGTTTTCATCATTTTGAAGATTAAAACTTGTTGCACGATTCTTTTTTCACCATTTTATCGGGTTGAACGATAAAAATTCAAGAAACTCTAACATTTCGTCATTTAATCCTAATTGTCAAAGTAGAAGTTGAGGCTTCACAAAGTTCCGAATTACCGAGAATATTTCATTGTCATTGAATACAATCACAATTTCAAATCCCCACGATTGGTCGAATCGCACATTCACGCCTCTGACATAAAATATTTTGAACATATAATATATTACGTTATATATAATTTTGATTTTTCCACTCACCTTCTGACGACATCGCAATGGCCACGAGCGGCCGCCAACGAGAGCGCCGTGCACCCCTGACTATTCGTCAGTTCAACATCAGCGCCGAACTCCAACAACAACGAGACCATTTCCACCGAACCCTCGTGAGCGTACATGCAAAGAGCTGGTGCGTTGCCTAGGTACTCGGTGACATGATTCGGAGATGCTCCTGCCAGCAAAAGCAACCTCGACACCTTAACATTCGGGCTGTAGATATTCCTCAGCGTGCACAACGCTGAAGAAACACATTCCGTGGACGATGCTAACCAGATGGCCTGATCGAGGATACAGAAACAACAAGTTTCGTAATCGATTCTATTGTAACGGACCTATCGTGAGAGATGCAAATGAGAGAGGACAGGTGATTGGTTACCTGTAGATCGCGCGAAGGCCAACACGGTGCAACGCTTCTGTAAACGTGCGCCTTGAGTATGTGATGGCCCAGTTCGAGGGCTTTATCACCGTCTAACGGTGCCTGGAGACGAGATAGCCTGTACGCGATAGCTGCGTGACCGAGTCTCAGGTCGCACAGGAATTTCGTCGATTCGCCCTCATCCCTCCTGATCAACCACTCCCTGAACGACGGATGGAAGAACATGTAGGTGTTGTCCAGACGTTTCACGAGGAATCCAGAGAGCATCTGATAACGAGAGAGGACGAGCGTGAGAGGTTGTACAAAAACAGTGGGCGGGTTGCGATTGAGTAAGAAAAAAAATGTCACTGTCATGGAGAATGTTCAATTCAATTGTTACAAAAGAGTAGTCCTAAATATATATTTAACAGTTTGATAGAAATATACATTTACATTTTACAAAGCTATAGTTGTAGCTTTGAAATGGTAATGACATTCGTAACCATTATTTATATTAGCACATGAAAGCTACAAGAATAGTTCATATACACTATAGATGACAATGGAAACTTTGACACTTACTTGATCCGTGACACTTACGTGAGGGCAGCGTCAGCAAATAACGAATAGTGTCATTATAAAATTTACTTCTCTATCGTTTCAATCTCGTTCAGATTCAGGGAAACTTACTTTGAATCTCTGCAGAAAATCCTCCCATGAAACGAAGTGGTTCGTGTTCAGAGAGTTCACCGAGTAGAAGATCTCTGGCAAGGTGAGAGGGTATAGAGCAGCTAAGCAAACGCCTAACAGGGGTTGAACCTTGTCGAAGGACGTCGTTGTTGGGAACCTAAGGTTGAAGTGCAGTTGGAATATCTGCGCTAAAGAGACTGGCAGTACCTGCGACACGAATTTCAAACATATATATTAACAACGCGTATTTGTTTAATTTGTAAAAATGACAGGAAAAAAATATTCGAAATTGCACGGAAAAGAATATATAATTTTATACAGCTTGAAAGAGAGAGAGAGAGAGAGACAAAGAGAGATACAGTGGCAGATAGAATTCTATTCACCTTGTAGCTGGCAGATTTAGCCACCAAGTGACCGCTCTCGATAAGATCAAGCGTCAATTTCGCGAAGAGGAAGCTGCCTCTAGCTAACGCGAGCAAGTGCGAGGCAAATCTCATTTGATTCGCGCTGCACGATGATTCCGCCTTTCCGTTTACGGAAGCTGTGACGTTCGTTTGAATCGCCGGACTCTGAGCTAATCGATATCCAATGTAGTCCGACAGATCCTTGGTTACGTTACTGCCGGTGTTATCGTTCGGAGCTCTGTCCAGAGACACTCTAGTGTAAGGTAGCTGTTTCGTACATTCCAATAAGTGCGTCCTTACTGTGCAAACGATTTTTAACCAGCTAGGGAAATTAGGAGCGTGCCTCGTTAGGAAAGACGCTATAGTGTCGCCTCGATCTGGTCTGTGGTATTCGGCTTCGCAGACGGCGTCAATTAATATCACCTGATGAGTGGAAATATCGGTGATATCAGAGATTTTCTTTCTATTTGAAAGATTGTGATGATTTACTTTTCGGAATTATACCATGTACAAATAAAGTACAAAATTATGTAAGAATTATATTTTTTACATTGAAGGTATTGAAGTTATTATTTTATTAAAGAGACTGTAATGTATCTTTGACATTGAAATTGTTCTAACATGTACAAATAAAGTACAAAATCATGTAAGAATTTTTTTACATTGGAGATATTACAGTTATTATTTTATTAATTGTAATATTATAGATTGTCATTTATCTTTGAAATTAAAATTGTTTTGATATATTATACTACAAACGAGGTGCAAAATTAGGTGAAAATTATATTCTTACATTGAAGATATTGAAGTTATTATTTCATTAAAGAGATTGTAATTTATCTTCAGAAATTAGAATTATTATTTTTATAACGGAAGGTAAACAAAAAATTATTTTCCACGTTAAAAAAATGTACTGTTTGTTTTCCTAATTTAGATTGCAACTGCTTCTTTTGTCTACAAAATTCCATTACTCACCATGTTGGTGTCAGGCAGTCTATTAGTTTTCTTTAACGTTGACAGAGGTTCGATAATACCCCTTGACAGAGCGAGATCTGGATCGACAGTGCACTCTCTTTGCGACAAGGACCCTTGTATATGAGGCTCAGAGAGCAAATATTCTCTATAGGTTATGAGCTGAGGGGCTTGACATAATTGTGCAGCTAAGGAGTGAATCAGATCTGGTACCAAACAGGTACTATTATTATCCGCTTGACAAAAGTGATACGCTACTACGTGGGACGCTAATTCTCGAATCTAGAAAGAATGAAATTTTCACCGGTTATTTATTAATTTTTTGTTCATAAAGAAGATAAGAGCTGAGCTGAGAAACAGAATAAAGAAATCTTTGAAGAGATGTACCTTCTCATTAGTATAACGAATGCTAGCATGCAAAGCCGAGGTGCATCCAGTCTTCTCTTTTTCGTCAGTTTCTTCGCTAATCTCCGAGGGGAAAGGCTGTTCCCGTCTTCTTCCGAAACAACTATGTTCTACCAGCTGCAGAACCAATGCAGTTTTTCCTGTTCCAGGAGATCCAGAGATCAAAACTCCGGGACTGGAGCCGTTCACCACCGAATCTAATTCCTGCAGCAGCCACTGGCGACCGGTGAACAGTGGATCGGCTTCTAGTAAAGGTACTTCGAAGAATAAGGGCTTCAGGGTCAACTGCGTTGCGTGGTGTTGTATAAAGCGTACTAAAAAGAAATAACCGATTTAGTGTTACGTGCAATCAGAATTTATTTTTAATGACGAACAAAGTCCAAGGGTAACGAGTAACGACTTTATTTGGAGAGAAATCGATTAATCAAATTAAATTACAGTTCGCAAATCATAGAAGAATCAATTTTATTCGAATAAAATATTCTCGAGTAATTTCGTTCCTTTTTTTTTTTCACGCACAGAATATTTTCTCGAGTATCACCCAACTTCGTTTCAGACTTTGAAAAACTTACGTTTCGTATCGACGGCTCCTTTGACGTTCCCAGCTCTGGCCGATCTCCTGGCGCAGGACCGTCTATTCTTAAACTGGCCGAACTCGTCGCTCTGGCCAGGCTGCGAGGCGTTCACGGAATGTCTTCTAGGAGTAAGAGGGCTCGAGCTGCCATTCGACAAGCCCGAAACGGAGACGGACATCGACATCGACATAGACGTAGACGCAGAAACCGATGTGGAGATGGAAGCCAAGCTACCAGCACTGTCGCAGTCTCTGGACTTGCTTTTCCCTTTGACCTTCGATTTAGGTTTGATCGGGCACCTGGAGGCTGCGGCAGCTTCAGCTTCGCTGGATGTGCCAGTCAACGTGGACACTGGGCTCGTGTTCGTCGAGGCCAGAGTCTGAGTCTCGAAGCTGGTCAGACTGCTGAACGAGGCTGCTGAACTATCGTGACCTTGGATTGGCACTCTAGATTGGCATGCACCTGCACTGGAACGATTCGAAGTGCCAGGTAGATCCGTCGTGTCTACACTGCTGCTCGCTCGGCTGTGATTTGATCCCAGAAGAAGGCCCAGCCTCATGTGAAGGTCGGACTGAGACGACTTCCTCGTCTTCGAGGACAAAGGCTTCACGCAACCTCCTTCGTCGTCTGAGAAAAGAAAGAATATTTGGGTTGTTAGATCATGGAGTGAGCATGGGAGTGAGTACAAGAGTAAGAAAGATGCACAAATAAAAACCACACAGAAACACGTGTTTTCAAGATGCAGAATCCATACTGACTTTGTCCCTACGTAGAATTCTGTTGTGGATTAATTATTAATTGGTGCGACGATAGTTCAGACGACGAACAACGTATTAACAGATTTGTGATAATAACAAAATAACGGTAATTCAATTAACAATTGCTTAGTTGAGAGAATCTCGAAGATAACTGGCGACAGATGTAATACATTCTCGGGAAAAATATA